AACATGCATATCTAATTTAAAAAAAGGACTTCCGTTCAGTTTAACCCATTCCGGTCGAAACCGAAAGTCGGTAATACCACCAAAAGATAGATATTCCCTCCATTTTAGAGGAGGTGGACGGGTATTATAATTTTGTTCACATAACGGTAGTTTGTAACAGCGAAAACGAATCGAGATAGATATAGACAAATGTACGTGGATGATCCCAAAAGTACCCGGCCTAACTTAGAGATGGCGGTAGTTGTTTTAAAAATATCACTGTGTTAAAAAGTACACAATCTGTAAAGCATATGTTTCAAGTTTGAAGACGCCACGTTGTTTAGTATATGCTATAGGCAGCCGTCAATAGTGAACGTTTTCAGTGAATTTGTGAAAAGGGAGAAAATTGGTCATCGTTTTGTGATACAATACTTTTATTTGAAAGGCCTCAGCCCATCCAATATAAAAGCTGAAATATATTAAACTTTGGGCGGGTCTGCTCCTTTGTTTACAACAGTAAAATATTGGGTAGCAGAGTTTAAACGAGGCCGTACGAGCTGCCAAGACGAGCATCGTAGTGGTCGACCAAATGAGGTGAAGCGGTAATGGATGATCGTCGACTGAAAGTGCGCAAACTAGCAGATAGTAGATAGTAGGCATTTCAAAAAGTACGGTACATCGTATACTATCTGAAGATTTGGAAATGAGAAAGCTGTATCCAAGATGGGTGCCACATTTGCTCACACTCGACCAAACACAGTGTCGTGAAGAGATTTCAATTGAGTGTTTAGCGAATTGATGTTTGAATTGCTACCTCATGCACCCTATTCGCCAGATTTAGCCCCTCGAACTATTTTCTGTTCCGCAACTTCAAAAAATGGCTCCGTGGTCAAAGATTTTCTAACGATGAAGAAATGATGTCGGCAGTTAATGGCTATTTTGAGGAGCCAGACAGTTCTTATTATAAAAAGGGTATCGAACTTATAGAGCATCGCTGGAAAAAGTGTATAGAGCTGAAAGAAGATTATGTTGAACAAGTAAGAAAGTCTAAGTTCGGACGGAGCCGAACATTAAATACCCGGCGCAAGTATTAAATATATGTTTTTTCACCCTTCCGAAACCTTCCGCTAGATGGCCGAGGTGTATCAATTTTGAATAAATTAGCGTCCTTCAATTTCGAAATATTGAAGTTTCAAGCATTTCCTAAATTTACCGTTATATGAGAATCGGCCGTTATTTTAGTCCGACTTCAATAATTTTCAACGCTTTGCTTACACGTGGCAAGTACAATAACCATACCGAGTTTGGTACAAATTGATAGAACGGTTACCGATATACTTATATGTGATCATAAGTGGGCGGTGCCACGCCCATTTTCCAAAATTTTACCATAAACGTATTTCTTGGTAAAGAATTGTTGCAAGCATCAATTTTGAATACATTAGCTTCAATATTTAATGATTTATCGAAGATTTTTTATTTCTCTAAATTACCGTTATATGGGATGTGGGCGTGGTTATTGTCCGATTTTAAAAAGTTTCGGCGGTTTTTTATGCTGTACCAAGGCCAACAACTGTGCCAAGTTTGGAAGAAAT